TAAATGTTAGTTTACCAGAGGGAGAATGTACAAATATCGTACGCTTGGGCACCTCTGTCCCATTCGTGTTTCTGCCGTGAAGCAGTTGTGGTTATGGTAGTGAATTTACAGGGTACAGAGGAATAACATCCGAGAACTCAGGAATGGCAATGGCATGGGGTCTATCATTAGTTGTAATTGTTTGTATCTATAATAAATTTTCTATTGTAATCTTTTGGTAGAAACAATAAAGTGTTAGAATATATGATTATATACTATATAAATACATATGTGTTATTTACTAGTACACTTTTAATAGACGTCAATGGATTGTTGTTGATGTAGTTATAAATCAATTAATAAATGTTAATATTTTATTTTAATAAATACAATATTTTACAGCACAATATTAATAATATATTGTCGTGTAAAAGCTTAATAGATTATTGGAATGTCATTTGTTTTAATTATGAATTTAAATATCGCAATTGATTCGATCATTGTTAATTATATTATTATCTTTGTTAATTATAATTTTTTGTGAGGGCAATAACGATTAGACTAGCGTTTTTTTACGCACTTTAGAATGCCAATCATGCTGACGGCCCACTTTATGGAAAGTGGTAACCGTCGCCTATAGATATGAGCAATACCGTGAACATAACAGAGTATAACTGTTTCGATCAAGATACAGCCCATGCGTTGTCATTCCTGAGTCCTCAGGAATGGCAATGCATGGAATACCACATTCCTCTGTACCTTGTAAATTCACTGCCATATCCCACCCTTCAAACCGAAACACAGTCATGCAAACACAACTGCTCCAATGTAGAAACACGAATGAGACAGAGGTGCTCAAGCAAACGACTTTTGTACAAAATCTCCCTCTGGCTGTTATTTATTCTTGTATTAATTTTTGCCGAGAGAACACGTATTAAATACACCTATCAAGGTAAAAAATATCTTTTATTTCTGGTAATAACCGATAAATAATCGTCTAACTATTAAAAGAGTATCTATCTATATTAATTATTAGAAGAAGGTTGATAAAATGCTGCAATACAGAGACAAAAAGGAGAGAAAGACATAATTGTAAATTACATTTTAGCCATTCGCGTGACGCGATTCTTACCAGCGCGATGACACCTCAATCCATCGATGTTAATCAATGATCGATTACTCCATTCAACGTCAATTTCAAAGCTTTCGAATGTATCAACAATTCCAATAATATGTTAATTAGATTTCACTGGATATGTATGTATTTAATGAGAGCATTTCATAATTTTAAATAATTTTCAATTTCCGTAATAATTAAGATTATATTCAACAAAAAAGGAAACCGACTTCAATTGTGGCAACACCTGTTATTTTGATTTAAGAACTAAACTACTGGACCGATTTTGATAACATTTCTAAATCTATAAATATGTCCTTTCAAACAAAAAAAAAGAGAATTGATCAAAAGGTTAACATTTAAAGATCGTGTGCCTCAAAATAAACCGACTACGATGCTAAGAAAACCAGTTATTTTAAAAATTAACGACTGAACCGATATTTATAATTTTTTTATCAAACCAATTTTCTAAATCGATTCACAACCGACAGACTTATGAGGTAACAAACAAAAAAAAAACCAACCGAATTGAAAATCATCTTCTTTTTGAAGTCAATTGAAAAACTTCGTTCATATAAAAACAAACGAAGAAAAAACACAAAGTAAAACAAAATATACTTGCTTTAAGTCTTTTTGTGGTCAGAGCCTCTAAAATGTTTTTTTGCCAAACGAAACAGAAATTTGATGTTAAAATTACATAATACATGCAGTTTGGAAATATTAAAAAAAAATTTGTTGGACTTTTATGTATGACGAACGAAACATTCCGGGGCGAAATGGGTTATTTTAATTGTACCAAACAGTGGGACGTAAACCTATTATTATAACATTCGAGTATTCTGACACTTCCCTATGGTTGGCTAGGAGAGAATGCTTTTAGCATTAAGTCCGCCATGTACACATATTTGTACTAATGAATAAATAAATAAATGAATAAATATCATTATATCAGCCTCTAACTGTCCACTGCTGAACATAAGACTAATCCTTAAGGGGTTTTGACAATAGGTGCCAAACTTTGCAGGTGGATTGACATCCGCAGTTAGACTTTAGAGATGTTTTAAGAGGGACGCTGCTGCCCGTCCCTCGCCCCCAGGAGTCGTCTTACGACACCCACAGAATAGAAGGGAAGTGATGGCCTATTCTATGAGCAGGACCACATGGCCAATATATTTATATTAATATAATATAATAAATAATAATATATTATTCATAAAGGGGAAAGAGTGGATGTTTTGTATGTTTCTTTATTTGTAATGGACAAACTCAAAAACTAGTAGGGGGAAAAGGATTGTTAGCAATGGAGTTTGACAGCCCCATTGTTAGCAATATACCTTATTAGGTCGACCTCCACGTGGTTCCCCCTATCGTGATTCTTGTTGAATTCGTCCGATGCTTCATGCTCATGCTCACCTATCATTCTTCACTGGTGCCCCGCCGATGTATACCAATAGCGCGGGTGGGGTTACCATTCCATTATCATTCATTAAAAAAAAAAACTCAAAAACTACTGTGCCGATTTAATAACAATTTTAACCTAAAAAAAAGCTACATTACCAGCGAGTAACATAGATTATATATTATATTTAAAAAAAAATAAAGATCCCTAAGAAAAATAGCTTAATGCAAACCAAAGTATAAAAATTTGCATTTTAAAGCTAACATAATATAAAATACTAATATTATCTTTTTATCTACCCGAAGCCGGGGCGGATCGCTAGTTATAAATTATAATGATACGGTAAAAAAGTTGTTAAAACTTTTCCAGATGTGAACATTAAGTAGTTTTTTTCTTAAAATCGTGGCATAAAATGGGCCACCCCTTCTTTTATCGTGAATATCGTAAGAGGTTACTAATTAATTAATGGTCAAGATGAGGGCAGTAGCGTCTCTCTTAAATTTTTTTTTTACAGCTTAGAATGGCAAACAAGCTGACGGCCCACCTGATGGAAAGTGGTAACTGTCGCCTATAGACATGAGCAGTACCATGGACATAACAGACTATACTGTTTCGCCCATGATAGCCCCCATGCGTTGCCATTCCTGAGGACTCAGGTGTTATTCCTCTGTACCCAGTAAATTCACGCCATATCCCACCCTTCAAACCGAAACACAGCCATGCAAACACAACTGCTCTATGACGTCCATGGTGGTGTTTAAGTCCATAGGTGATGGTTACCGCTTCCCATCACATGAGACGATAGCTTTACCATTCATGGTTCCAAAAAAATATATAAATACCACTAAGCTAAATATATATATGTCTAAACTTGTTACTAACTATATAGCTACTAATAATTTATTATTTATCATATTATTTCTGCACCATATATGGTATCTTTAATATAAAATCCCTATAGACACGTTCTCCTTTCAGATTTTTAATGTCTACTAAATGTAATCCCTTCAAGGGATAAGTCCGCCTGTGTACATTTTTGTTATAACCTATTAGTGTATTTACAAAAGCATATAAATAAATAATATTAAGACACATCGCACCTAAATGGAGTAAAGCTGCTATTACTTTTCTATTAAAAAGAAACGCCTACTTACAATTCTATTTCAGAAATAGTAACTAAGTACTAACAACGGCCTGCTTTTTAGCCTTAGTGGAAATCAAAATAAAATATTTATCTCACTTCTTATACAGAACTGTTTGACCGCTACTATGTACGTGTGGATTTCAAATGTAGATTTGAAAAGTCGTTTGCTTGGACACCTCTGTTCTGTTTTAACCGTGAAGCAGTTGTGTTTGCATAGCTGTGTTTCGGTTTGAAGGGTGGAATATGGCAGTGAATTTACAGGGTACAGACGAATAACACCTGAGTCCTCAGAAAAGGCAACACATGGGAGGTATCATGGGCGAAACAATATACTCTGTTATGTCGATGCTACTGTTCATATCTATAGACGACGGTTACCACTTTCCATCAGGTGGGCCGTTAGCTTATTTGCTATTCTAAGTTGCATAAAAAAATATATAATACTATCAATTGGCCGTGTGGTCCCGGCATAGAATAGGCCACTCGTTTTTCCTGTGGATATCGTTAGAGACGACTAAGGGAACATAAAATTACCTTAATTAATAACTCATAAATTTAAATAGCTAGAACATTATTTAACCCCACATTACCACTTAGTACTTTTCTTAACATATTTAATCAAACATTTGCAAAATTTAATTAAAATAGGTTTCAGATATTATCGTGAACGTGATAAGAGATTTTGTACATTATTAATTAGGGTTACTTTAATTATTATTTTCGGTAGCAATTATTTGCTTTAATTTCCTCTTTATTGCGAATATTACTTAACAGCTGTTATACAGCTAGTATAAAATGTTCCTTATATTGTTTTTCTTTTTATGTAACCTAGAAAAGTAACTGTCTCCTATAGACATGAACGGTACCTTGATCACATCACAGGATACACTGTGATACCCATGGTACCCCTCCATGCGTTGCCATTTACGAGACCGAGACGTAATGCCAATACCCTTTCATTTTAATGCCGTGTTCCACTCTTCAAAACGAAATAAACAGTTGCTTTAGGTGTCCACGCAGGCGACTTTAAAATAAAAAAAAATCTTAAAATCAATTTTTTTTAATTTGCAACCGTTTTGGAATAATCTCATTTATTTCATCGATACTTACTCTTTGAGCTCTTTCATTTATCATTCCTATATTAACAAATTAACAAAATGTCCACTATCCGCCATCTTGCGAAGGCGGCCATTTGCAAATTATTACAATATTGTATACTGCATATTATAGTTAACAGAACTAAAGGTGTATGCGAAATTTAATCTCAATCCCTATGTCAATAAGTTCTAATTCACCTTGCAAGAACTTACCAAACTAAAATACGTATACATTGCAAGTTAAATAAAGGTTCGTAAACTCACCCAAACTCCAACTCATCAGGCGTCAGCATAACAATATCATCGTCGATAGTCAACTGGCACTCGGTCTCGATCTCGTCGTAAGGGAAGAATCGATTCGACAGTTTATTCTCTTTGGTACGTATCACTTTCAGCGGCTTGTTAATTACTGGCCATTCGGATGCTGTGAAGAAAAAGTGAAAATAAATACCACAGATGAAAACGAATGCTCGATTACCGGCGATCGCACGGTAAATGCAATAAAAGCGTTCACGCTTGCATGCACTTTTTTTTTTAATAGGTGAAGATGGAATGATAACTCGGTATCGGTGAGAATGAAAAGACAGGTTTGTTAGCCCATCGTGATGGATACACCTGGCATTCAGCACAATAGTTTCCAGGTGGGACCACTGGTAGTCCCCATTACTGACAATCCCTTCCCCCCAGTTTCACGCTTGCATGTACTATACAATGTTTGAATGATTTTTCATACGATCCCATAAATCCTACTCAATATTATAAATGCGAAAGTATATAACTACGCATGAATAGCAGATTGGATGTATGAATGTTTGTTACCCTTTTACGCAAAAACTACTGAACGGAATTGAATGAAATTTGGAACACTGGTAGGTTGTACCTTAACTTAGTACAAAGTATATCGCATGTACGAGTATGGATTCACGCGATCGGGGTTGAGGGATACTAGCTAGCTACATAACACATTTAAACTAATTAAATGAATAATTGATTATATTTTATTTGCAATATAGGGAATAAGAAAGAAAATAATAAGTGACCTATTTTGACTAAGTAATACTTAGTCAAAATAGGTTAATTTAATTTTAAATGTTTTATAACTTTCTTTCGAATTGAAAATGTAACGCCAAAGGAAAAAGCGAAACATGTTCATTGCTAAAATTTAAATTAAACCTTTTTCCACAGACTTCAAAACGTAGAACGTTCTGAATTCCGTTCCATTTCAGTGAAAAATAATCGTACAGGAAATTTTTTTTTCTATGTTAACGAAAATAATTTTTTTCAAAATTTTCTAGGTTTCGTTTTTAGATGGAAAAACCTCAGCGTGTTTAACTTCAAAAATATCATCAGTTGTAAACGAATTTGGAAAATTCTTTTTTTTTTTTAACTGAAAGGATATATTTGCCTATAGGATATATATTGTTCCATAGAAATTTTATCAAAATCGTTTTACTGTTCTGGTTTTTAAATAAAAATAACTAGTTTTGTCATAATCTCTGAAGCCTGTTTTTTTTTTTGTGAAACACAATTTTTATATATAGCTAAAGCATTTACTAATTTGGCACCTATTCTTTCTTCAATCTCCAAATATAGCAAAAATTTAAATTCTTTTTATCCGGTTATATTATAAATAGTTTAAAAAAAAATCAGTTTTACAGAGACTCATAATATTTATGTTTATTTTTACCATCTTTCTGATTTTTGGAGTCCTATGGACTCGATAGTAAATCACCTAGTCACGGCGACCTCGATCAATCATAATTATAATCAATCTAGTGTGATAGCTAACAATCAAGTCTCAAACATGAAACCATAATGAGTTATTCCACAATGCAATACAATCCTCTCATACATTAGTCATACAATACTATATACTAATAGGTGAATGAAATGAGAATAGAAATGGGCGTCAATCGAGTGATAAATGGCTTAATAATCTATATTTAAAATGTTACCAGTGACACTTTGTACATAAGTCGTTTGCATGGGCACCTCTGTCCTATTCGTGTTTCTACAGTGAAGCAGTTGTGTTTGCATGGCTGTGTTTCGGTTTGAAGGGTAGGATACGGCAGTGAATTTACAGGGTACAGAGAAATAACACCTGAAGCCTCAGGAATGACAACGCATGGTGGGTAAAATGGACGAAACAGTATACTCTGTTTATTTCCATTATACTGCTCATGTCTATAGGGGACGGTTACCCCTTTCCATTAGGTGGACCCTCAGCTTGTTTGCCATTCTTAGTATCATAAAAAAAATCTATTAAATATAAAATTGAGTAAGATCATCTACAACTTGATGGTTGAGAGCAATCAGATCGTCATGTCCAGTGTTTAATAAATCCTCAGTGAACAATATTAAAGCCGGACAGAAACTATAATTATAGCCTATTTCATCCAATAAAATCTCTCCCGTTGTACAAACCCAATCTGCATTCCAAAATAGGATAGTACATTTGCAATTTACGTGCTACGGGGGCATCGATTATACATTAAAAACATTACAAAATTTCATTTCCAATTGTTCAATGCAAATACGATGTTATTACAATGAGAATAAAGGTGATATTACAACAAAATTTTTCTGCAATAATCCTATGAAAATGCACTTTCTCAGCACAGTTATTAAATAAATATATTTCATCACGTTTTGTCGATATTCCATTGGCGATATAGAGGCAGCTCAGTTCAGATGTAGCAATGGACAGGTCACCGAACGAGTCAACAACCGTTAGGAAGAAGGAATCTCGTGTGATGACCCCGTACAGATAAAAGCGGTACACAGCGAGCCAGGGTGTCTACTCTGAAACCTAATTACAAAGTTTTTGATCTACAATCAATCTTATAACGACTTACTACTCGACCATACATCGACATATTTGATACAAAATATTTACTCTTTAAAAAAAACTTGTTCTATGTTTTGTAAAATATTTTCAACATATGCAATATTTCTTTATAGTTTTAGCTTTTATATATTTATATAGCATTTTATGTATTTTATTTTTATATGTGCTTGCTTTACATGAATTGCTCAAACTGTGCCCATAATGTAATTGGATTGTAACCTAAATGTATCACAAATGTAACTACTACTAACTAACCAGAGGGATATTTTGTACAAAAGTTGATTGTTTGGGTACCTCTATCCCATTCATGTTTCAACCGTGAAGCAATTGTGTTTATCTATAGGCGACGGTTACCACTTTCCATTAGGCGGGCCGTCAGCTTGTTTACCATTCTAAGTTGTACAAAAAAAGAAATTACTGGGTACAGCGGAATAACACCTGAGTCCTCAGGATGGCAACGCATGGGGGGGTATCATGGGCGAAACAGTGTACTCTGTTATGTCCATAGTACTGCTTATGTCTATAGGCGACGGTTACCACTTTCCATCAGGTGGGCCGTCAGCTTGTTTGCCATTCTAAATTGTATAAAAAAAATACTTAAATTTTTAACATTTTTGTGTCTAATAAATAAATAATTAAAAAACTGTCAAAATCGGACCTGTATGAAATATAATGGTTAATTACGTCATAATATCTAATATTTCGTTATAAATTTACACTGACTTTTGAAACGCAGCTCTTACCTAGTTCGGGAATTAGAGAATTCACAATTTAATAGCTGTATCACCATATCACACGTTAACTGTCTACTGGTGAACATTGGCCTCCCTTTATTGCGAGGTTTTGTCTGTAGTTGCAATGCTTGGCAGGCAAATTTGCAACTGCAGTTTGCCTTTGGTGATATTTAAAGATGGATGCTATGATTTATGACAATAAAAAGAGGTATTATTGTATTATAAAAAGCACTAACGATCGAAATTGTTACATTTTGACAGGAATAGCTACGTAATTTCAGCATCAAGTTTACCTTTTGTTGAAACCCGAACTTTCTAAAATGGTATGAAGCGAACTAGTTGGAATGAAACGACGACCTCAAACATGTAAGATAGCTCGAAAGCATTCTTTGCGGACCTATATTTAAAAGTGAACATATATACAAATCTGTTTCCCATTTTTTTTATTGGATGATAATGGAATGGTTACCCCGTGAACGCTATCAGTATACGCTGGCGGGGCACCAGTGAGGTGATATGTAAGATGAATGATAAATGAGAATGAAAAAGCAGGTCAGCCCATCGTGAATTTAGCACGATGGTTTCTAGGAGGAACCACGTCGACCTGAAAAGATATAGTAGGTAGGCTAGCAATGGGAGTAGTAGTCTACATACTAACAAACAAATCCTTCCCTCTCTCTGCCATTTTTTTTTAATAGATGATAATGGAATGGGATCCCCACCCGCGCTATCGGTATACACCAGCGGGGCACCAGTGAAGGATGATAGGTGAGGATGAAGCAGGTCAGTTAGCCCATCGTGACGAATTCAAAAAGAATAGTTCACGATGGTTTCCAGGGGGAACCACGTGGAGGTCGACCTAATAAGGTATACTGCTAGCAATGGGGCTGTCAAACTCCATTTCTAACAATCGCTTCCCCCCCCCCCCCCCCCCCCCCCCCCCCCCCCCAATCTCTCTGCCATTAGGGTAGTCAGAAATAATGGAATGCCAAATACTTCGAAGGAGTGGACAATCAAGCTAAAATGATGACAACTCACATGGCGGCGGCGGTTTCTTCTGGTTGTTCCACACGACGAGTATCTTGGCAAGGCTCGGCGTCCTCACGAGTTTCTTGACCAGTGTGAAGAGGCTGTCAACGCGGTCGTACGTGAGTATGACCGCGGTGAAGCCCGGCGCTTTGGGCGCAGTCACCGGCAAAAACAGCGGGTTCACTGGACCGTACTGCAGAAAATGCTCGTGATAAATTTCACATGTATAATAAAATTGTAAATAGACAAAATCTAGACACAACAAATACCACACAGAATAGACATAACATACATAGGTAACATTGGTACTGATCCAATATCTATAGATATATATATTTACATTGATGGTGGAAAAAACTAAACAATAAATGCCATATAGAGTACCAAATAAACATGGATATTACTGGTACCTACTGATCCAATATCTACTAGAGGGAGACAGGAGACTTTGTACAAAAGTCGATTGCTTGGATACCACTGTCCCATTCGTGTTTCAACCGTGAAGCAGTTGTGTTTGCATGGCTGTGTTTGGATTTGAAGGGTGGGATATGGCGTGAATATACTGAGTACAGAGGAATAACACCTGAGTCCTCAAGAATGGCAACGCATGGGGGGTATCATGGGCGAAACAGTATACTCTGTTATGTTCATGGTACTGCTCATGTCTATAGGCGACGGTTACCACTTTACATCAGGTGGGCCGTCAGCTTGTTTGCCATTCTAAGTTGTATAAAAAAAAATCTGTATATGGTTTTTTTTACATTGACGGCGAAAAAAACTAAACAATAAATGCCACATAGAGTACCAAATAGACATAGATATTATTGGTATCTACTAATCCAATATCTATGTATTGTTATTTTTTTTTTGTCATTGATGATGGAAAAAAGCTAATCGCCAATTTCGTAGTCGCCCGTATCAGTCGGATATGTATCTATATTAATTTCAATCGGGTTCTTCATTCCGACATTAAATATTGAATAACAGACATTTAACATATTAATTATTGGACCAATATATAGATATTGTAACTAAAATACAGTGGTACCTCGATATACGAGTGCCCAAATATACAAGTGTTTTGAGATACGAGCCGCCGAGCGAGCGATATTTTGGCTTTGAGATGAGAACAAGATTTGATATACGCGGAATCGCACACTACACCGCTGCACACGACCCCAACATGCGGCGTGGATGTTGGTGTCTTACAGTTTCTCCCACCTCAGACTGACACTTAACGAAAACAACTGAGGTGGTTTTTTGGGAGTAAGAATTAATGGCATTTCAATTAATTTCAATGGGGAAAATTGCTTTGAGATACGAGCAATTTGACATACGAGCAAGGTTATGGAACGAATTAAACTCGTCGAGGTTACGACAATTCAATTAGTTTAAATTAGTTTTTTTTTTTTTTTTTTTTAAGTTTATAACGTGTAAATACACTAAGCCCGGGCATTATACAATCCTAAAATATCTTCAGATTTTTTTTAAACATTCTCAATTGTAAAAATGGTATTAAAATGTTACAACAATAATATTCACATGTAATGTATTAATGTTACAGTTTATCGTTTTATCCGTCTCGGCTTCGAAAAACTATAGTCACGTGGAAGCTCTGAAATAACTCACACCTTAACTTGATCGTCCGTGGGCGGTAGTTCATTACTTGAACGTTTATTTTACCCTTAGGGATTAAAGGCGTCTTATAGGAAATTATGATATTTCTGTCTTATACATTACGTACGTAATACAGTGGCAGTAAACTCTATATTACAAAATTATTTTGGGTTCTTTCACCCATTGTTAGTACTCGTAATGGGGACTAGGACCCATTGTTAGTACTCGTAATGGGGACTAGGACTTATTGTTAGCAATGTACCTAATCTATCATGTGGGAGAAGGGATTGTTAGTAACGCGCACTACCAGTTCCATTGCTAGCAAATTGCTAGCAATGGAACCGGTAGTCCGCTATCTAGTAGCAATATACCCAATTAGGTCGATATTCACGTGGTCCACCTTGGAAATTTCTAATGGTGCATGGTGTTGTAAATTACTGGTGTATTTATTACGATGTGCTAAATGACCTGTTTTTCATTTCACCTATCATTCCTCACTGGTGCCCCGCCAGCATACACCGATAACGCAGGCGAGGTTACCGTTATTTATTTTATTTATTTATTCATTAGTACATATATGTGTACATGGCGAACTTAATGCTAAAAGCATTCTCTCTCAGTCAACCATTGGGAAGTGTCAGAATACTCGAATGCGGTACTAGTAATTATTGATATACATACATACTAAAATTATATATATAAACACTTATACATATATGACATATATCATATTATACACGAAATTGAGAATAATATTAAGTACTTACTACTCGGATAAAGTAAAAAAGTGAGCATGAACGTTTTTTTTTTTTAAGTTATCATCAATTTAAAATAAAACATTATTACTATAAATTGTTTTCATCATTGGTGATGATCTCATATAAATCTGTTGCAAGTATATTTTTGTTTGAAATCATCCCTAACACATTTTTTAAAATAAAACAAAGGAAATATATTTGATGATCCGTTAAGAGGAACAGAGTTGTACAAAAGCAGTTGTATTTGCATGGCTGTGTTTCGGTTTGAAAGGTGGGATATGGCGTGAATTTACAGGGTACAGAGGAATAACACCTTAGTCCTCAGGAATGGCAACGCATATCATGTTCGAAACAGTATACTCTGTTATGTCCATGGTACTGCTCATGTCTATAGACGACGGTTACCACTTTCCATCAGGTTGTTTGCCATTCTAAGTTGTATAAAAAAAAGCAAGCTCCCCTCTCTCTCTTGCATTGAAACTACTCAATAATGTTTTGAGCCGGTATCCGCAATTAGACGTGTTTGCCTCCAACTTGCTGTAGTTTCGTCAAATGACCACAGAGTATTTATGTTTAGAGATTTTAAATATAGATGTTATTTCTATTATTGTTATGTGATTTTAATAATCTTGTCAATATTGTTCTTTTTAATTATACATACGTGTTATTGTACTGATGCTTTCCTGGGTGAGCTTATTGGTAGACTGTAAAGCTCACCCAGTTGATGAAATAAATAAATATTCTATTCCCAATCCAGTGTGCTATTGGATTGGATTGAAACACCACAACTCACAATGATTGACTCACAGTGAGGTTTTGATATATTGCATTATGGCACTGTGGATAGAACTATACTAGATTTTGTTACCCCCGATATTATCTATTTACTAGCTACCCGCTCTGGCTACGTACGGGTGTATTATTTTTTTTACTATTCAATGCTATTTTACAAACTTTTTAAACTTGTATTGACAATTAAAAACATAACAAAACATGAATTAAGGAAATAGGTGCAGGGTGAGGGGAACATGGATCGTTAGTAATAAGAGCCAACAGACCTATTAATAGCAAAATACCCTAACAGGTTGACCTCCACGCGGTTCCTCCTGGAAACCATCGTGATTAATTTTTGATGAATTCAATGAGATGGGCCAACTGACCTGCTTCATCTTCACCTATCATCCTTCACTGGTGCCCCGCCAGCGTATCCCGATAGCGCAGGCGGGTAAAAATGGGTGCAGAGAAATTCTGCGCTTACATACATTCAGCAACTGATTTTTAATTATTTCCACCAAAACAGTATTTCCCAAAATTCCCACAGGAACATGATATGTAAGAGCTATATACATATAAATATGGACGGGGATATTATGTATAAATAAATTAAGAGCGATCATAGGTGACTGCCGTGAACTACTATAGCCACAGAGTTCGAGCCGTCGACCCGGATTAACGCTGATGTACGCATGTTGAGTTAAGACAGATATTGGGTTTATCTTTGTTCAGTATAAACTTTAATGTCTCAGAATATTATAACTTTGACACAGAATTACAATAGAATATTATTAAATATATATGGCTGTAGGTAAATATTAATTACGTTTCATTCCAGTACCTTTCATGTTGGTATAATTTCTATGACGTGACAATCAATTCTAAATAATCACCAAGCCTTACTAATAAACAAGCATACGGCCCACCTTATGATAAGTGGTTACCGTAGCCTATGAACGCGTACAATAAATACTTTTTTCCCTCTCTCTCTGGCACGTTATGCGATGCATTTCAAGTTGAACTATTTTGATGGACAGAGGTAGGCTAAAGACTGTCCCTTATCTTCGTGGACCTTAATGGTTCACTTTCGCATAAATAGCCCCAGAAGAGATCCCTTTTGGTGATAGGGTCACGACCGCTTTTATTATCGCTGTGATCTCTTTTATGTATATTTTTTTATTTGTAAGATTTGGAATACAATAATATAGGATGTATTTTATTTATGTATTAAACTTTAATATGGTTAAACAGTGTAAAATGCAAACTTAACATCACATCGCGTTTACTACCAGTAAACCGCATAAATAACCACAGTAATAACATAAAATATAATTGAAATTGCAACATAATAATAATTATTATTATTAATGAATGAGCAATGAATGAATTAATGAGCAAGTAATTAAAAATAAGAAAGCAAATTTCACTTTGAAATTAGTATTTTTTATAAATGTTTAACAGTAAGATAACCCCGTCCACGCTATCGGTTTACGCTGACGGGGTATCAGTAAAAGATGATAGCTAATGACCAAGTCAAGTCATGATTATGGCGAATTCATCAGGAATTGTGTACGACTGTTTCTAAGTGTAACTACGCGGTGGTCGACCTGACAGTGTATATTACTAGCAATGAAGTTCCCAGTACTCATAATCCTTCCCCCCAAAGGAAATAAATGTGTTCCCCGCGACTTCGCCCACAGGAACTTCTTAACTCCCTTTCCGATGAAAAATAAATAAAAACATTATGGTTTACGTCCGTCAAGGATAATCTGTAATTTACATAATGAGTGAACTTTGAGAATCAATTCAGTAGTTCCATAATCCAGTACATAAACCTTAATAAATATAGGACAAAAATATTACTAAAACTTTTCTAAATCGATTTTTTTTAATAAAAGCCACCCAATAACCCTGTTTGTTTAATGCTCACACATAACTCTTATGAGAAACCAGGCAATAATAGCAACTAACAAGACCAAAACTCAATATGAAGTTCGAATCTAGAACTACATAATAGGAAAGTCAATTGCTACTATACAGTATAGGTCATCCTTGAAAAATGGGCATGTTATATGATACATATGCATCAACATTTTAAGTAGTACCTCAGGAAATTTTGTAAACCAAATTTACAATCAAAATTTTAGAATCAAACTATAAGAGCTGACATATAAGAACTATTAATTGAAACATCACAAAAATGTGTTTTTTTTTTTAAATGTATGATGGAATGGTAACCTCGATTGCGCTAATGGTATATGCTGGTGGGCACCAGTGAGAGATGATAAGTAAGCATGAAAAGACAGGTCACTTAACTCATCATGATGGATTCACTTAGAACAGAACAGGATAGATTCCAGGGTAACCGTGATGAAGTCAATCTGACGGGTGTATTGCTTGCAATGGGGCTACTTATTCCCATTATTACTAATCTCTTTTCCTTCCTCACAAAAATATGTTAGGTACGAATAAAATACTAGTGATGCTATTGCTAATGTCATAAAGAAACATTGAAAATACTTACTATATGTTCAGGCATATTCCAGTCTTCATACATCCTAGCTGCTAATGGGAACACTTTCTCATTTATTATTTCTAATGCAGTCAATGTCATCTTTTCTATACTAGCGAAATATTTATCATACACCCAACGTAACTGCCAATACAGCTCACCACGTCTCTCCTTACTAACTGAATGTACTATCTTCACTATATTCTTTACATTATCTTCAGGTACAAATAAAGAAATCCTATTCCAGTCTACGTGAGAATTGAATGGCATCACTACAGAGTCAGCGATCACTATTGGTATACATTGAGATGCTAAAACGTCCATGAGCACAGCTTGTGTCAGTCTTGCACTACATATGACCAGGCAGAACATCCCCTCTTTTAATACGTCTGGGTAACTAAACATTCTTCCTGTTGTATACTCGCATCGTTTACTGTAATCTATTCTGTCTGAATCCATTTTACATTTATCTAATAGTAACAAATCATTCGATGAAGATGCTATATTTTGTAACACTTCTAAGTAATGTTTTGGTATGTTTAACTGTGTTGATATAATCAAGTAATTCTTCTGGTCTGGTTGAGAACTGTCAATCTTTTCTGCTGTATGACTGTATACAGGAATGGAAATGTCAAAGCCATATCTAAATGACCATGTATCGAAACCAGCTCCTGCAATAATGGCCTTTCCAGTGTTGAGATCAATAACTGAGTTGTAATTCGGTGCTGAACCAGGCAACATATTGAATATGAGATGGTTCTCACCATCATTCCAACTGTCGGAAAAATAAACATTTAATTACTATATACATATATACAATAACTATTTTCACATTGTACTCATTCTTTTCTTGAGAATTCTGTAATTTAAAATTTTACTGTACAATAAAGTTTTTCAAACTTTTATATTAATATAATGTATTAAATCATAATATGTAGACAAACATATACCAAAATCTGGGATTTTGTATTCAGTCTAAATATGATTTTTGATAAGAAAAAATAGTATGTACCTATAGTTTAATATTTTAAGTAAAGCTCATTTATATATTTTCAATACACTGAACATACAGATATATTTTGTTTAGACACCTACATAACTTTAATGTAAAAAAATACAATGCAAAACTACTACTAACATTAAAATAGTAATAACTTAGGTAAAGTCAAATTTGCACAAATATTGTATTTACATTGCATAATTATTCATAATAAATAAATAATTTAGCATACAATTATAAAGTTATGTGTGTTAAAATTTGAGTAAATAGTAATGAAAGTATTAGATTAACTTACTATTTAAGAGAATGTAATGCTTGAGAAACATGTTTCTTAGAGAAACTGTGTTGATTCAATGTATCTATACTAGGGACTAACAAACACGCCTCCTCTGGATTAGATGTATAATATTTACTATGTCTAATTGTATCTAATATTACATAAAACTCCTTTGAAAACTGAGAAAAAGGAGTTCCACTCTCAGTCCGATAATCCTTTAAAGGATAAATATATATGGTTATCTTATCGTGTCCACCTCTCCCGCATCTATACACATTGAAACAATCCCAGTAAGTGCAGTTGGAAACACGAGCACTTGATAGACGCGCATCACTTTTCAAATTCACAACTTCTAATAATGTAGAATCTAAATTCACTGGTTCATGAAAGTCTGTCCGCGGGGAACTGCCCGAATATGCATTAAACATCACAATAAATAGTAAAGACACCACAATAAACAATAGTAGGCCAACGAAAAAGCTACGATACGAGATTTTCTTATACGATGTGTATTTAGTATACTTGCTCGTCTTTATAAGCGACTCCGAAGCCATTTGTGACTTTCCGTAATTAAACAAATTTTCTTAATTTATTTATGGCACCCATTATAATGTAAATCAATTATTTCTCATTCAAAATTGTTTAAAACGCGATAAATACTACTAACTAATGTAGTGAGAAATAAGAAACTGATTATGACTGTAATATCTTTTTTTTTTTTTTTTTTTTTTTTGAGTGATGAATTGACTGACATGCTGCCTAGTCTTCAAAAAGATAATTTGTCTGGAATGATGACTGACATCTCGATTATCTAGTGACAATGACATCGACATAACAAACTGACAGCGGTCATTCTGTCTTTAGAACAGCAACTGGTATTGACATTTGACCATCGATCAGGAATAATACCATCGATCAGATTATATAAATTTATTTATTAATTTACGTGTGTCATAAATGGCTCAAATAAAGTGTTTATCTATCTATCTATCTATTGTAGCGACTCATTCCGCTACGCCCTATAAACCGCGCCAACAATTTCTATGACAATTTATTATTAAGACTCTTTTTCGTTTGTATAATTTGGAACAAAAATTACGTTTTAGTTTTTTTTACGTCTGTCTTTCTGTCTTTACGTATCCTACCAAATATAAAATATTAAATGATACAAAACGATATAGACCATAGGGAAATATTGGTTTAATTCAACTAAAAATAACGATACATTGGTATTATTACAGACAATAGTAGTTAGAAAAGGAATGTCACAATCTTAAGTCAATAATAGAAAAACAAACCAGTATTTGTCAAGAGTTTCGTATACTACATTCACCCATCCTTTTTTTAAAAAAAACCTAAGTTATTATAATTCATAATCCCCTAAATAAGCGGGTGGTCTTCTTTCACGAATAAGCCGCTGAGACGAATCGACCCAGGGCCCAGTGCCATCAGTATTCAAATTGTCGGTTTCAGTCGTGGTGTTGTAGCTCTCGGTATCTGTATCGGTTCGAGATCGATCGGAGTTCTCAATTTCGTCAGTGTTAGCTATATCTCCAACGAATCTATTAATTGGGGCAAGATGTCTATTAGATACAGTATCCTCTCGTCCATCAGCAAAACGTACTAAAGAATAATTTGGGTTGGATTCTAGCAATTCGACTTCTTCTACTAGAGGATCATATTTACTTTTTCTTACGTTTTTCTTCAAAAGTATTAGACCAGGAATCATTAACCACGAAGGTAAAGAAATTCCATTACCAGATCGTCTGGGAAAACATAACAACTTATCATGTGGAGTTGCATTCGTAGCAGTACATAACAAAGAGCGTATGGAATGTAATGCTAGAGGTAGTACCTGTTCCCAATATCGTATGTCAAGGTTCTTGGATCTTAAAGATAATTGGATGGTTCTCCACAGTGTCCCATTCAATCGCTCAACTTGACCATTTCCTTCCGGATTGTAAGGTGTAGTTCGACTACAAGCAATATTATTTCTTAGTAGGAAATCTTTAAATTCTTGTGACATAAATCCCGCACCACGATCTGAATGAATATATAGAGGCGTTCCAAAAGTAAAGAAGAGGTCCTTTAAACACGTTATGACAGTTCCTGATGATACGTCTTTACACGGGTAAGCAAATGGAAAACGAGAAAATTCATCAACAATAGTTAATATATATTTATTTTCAGTATTCGAAGGTAACGGTCCTTTAAAGTCTAAACTGAGTCTTTCAAATGGAGAAGTAGCTTTGATAAGTCGTCCTTTGCTATTTGCAAATCTAGGTTTTATCTCGGCACAAATAGGACAACTCGCAGTCATGTTTTTAATCTCTACAAGAGAATAGGGCAAATTTTTAGAACGCACCCAATGAGCCATTCTTGTGATTCCTGGATGGCATAGAGTATTGTGCAGTTGATATAAATTTTTACGTCAAAATGTACTAGCACAAACTCTTGATAATGCATCTGATACTATATCTTGTCTACCAGGTCGATAGATAATATCAAATTTAAAACAAGACAGTTCCAGTCTCTATCTCTCTATTTTTTCATTCTTAATTTTACTTGTATGCTTCTGATTGAACATAAAAGAGACAGATTGTTGATCAGTTATTAAAAGAAAATGTTTTCCAATTAAATGATGACGCCATTTACGTAGACTTTCAACAATCGCTGATGCTTCCTTCTCTATTGACGAATGGTTTCTTTCAGAATCTGTTAAGGATCGGGAAAAAAATGCTACAGGGCGTCCATTTTGCGAAAGCGTTGCTGCCAAAGCATGATCAGAAGCATCTGTTTCGACAGTGAACATTTGTGTGTCGTCAATTGCTACCAAAGCTGCATTTGCAATATCTTTCTTGATACTTTCAAATGATTCGCTTGCCTCATGTGATAAAGGAAATGAGTTATTCGTTATTAAAGGACTTATTTTCTCTGAATAATTGTTTATCCATCTAGAAAAATGTGCAAACATACCTAATATTTTCTTCAAGGAAGTTAAGTCTGTAGGTGCAGGCATAGAAAGTAATGGTTTAAGACGCTCTTTATCAGGCTTTACAGTGTTATTCTCTATAGTATAACCCAATAAGTTAATAGACTCAGAGCCAAACTTGCATTTATCTTTATTTAAAGTAATTTTATATTTTTCTACTGCTGTCATAAATTTGGCTAAGTTAGCATCATGGGTAAGTTTATCCTTTCCACAAACAGTGACATCGTCTAAGTAAGCATAAGTATCTGTAAGATTTTCATTATCAATAATATATTGCATCGTTCTTTGGAATGCTGATACGCCATTTGTAATTCCAAAAGGTATACTTGTAAATTGATATAATTTACCACATGCTTCAAATGCTGTATAAGGTCTTTCCTTTTGCAGAATCGGCACTTGATGGTAAGCACTTTTAAGGTCTATTTGGCTAAAATATTTATTCTGAGCAATTTTAGATACAAGAAATTCAATGTTCGGCAATGGATACGCATCAAGTTCTGTAAATTTGTTTATCGTTCGTGAATAGTCAATAACAAGACGTTTTCGATGCGTACCGCCACCAGTTACTAGGACTTGTGCTCGTCAAGATGACATACTTGGCTCTATAATTCCATCTTTTAATAGCTTTTGAATTTCTTCAGAAATGAATTTTTGGTCATCATCATTATAGCGCCTTGATTTTATTGCCACAGGTTTGATATTAGGCGACAAATTTGAAAATAGAGTTGCGTTAGGTAAATTTGCAGCCATAACATTGCATATCTTCAAAGAATCTCTGGGACCTCCGAACTGGAGTTCTAGAGAATGGTGATTTTTAAGCAAATCATGACCTAAAATAATGTCAGTGCATAAGTTACGTACAACTAGTAACTTGGCATTGCTGTAAGAGTGATTATATAATTTTATAGTAGCATTACAGTAACAGGTGACTGGAGATGTATGATTAAGTGAAGCTAGAGTAATAATTTGCTGACAAGGTTTCTGTCTCAATTTCAAGAGTTGCGCCAATTCTTCATTTATGAAACTTATCGAGCTTCCGGTATCGATAAGAGCTTCGGCACGATAATTATTAATAATAACGGGTACAGTTGCCTTATGTAGACTTGGTAAAGAAGCTGCTGATATAGCAGCAACCTCCACAGAATAATTAGTATCATTTTCGTTTGTTACAGCAGCATTCATAGTTTGTTTACTTCGGCAAACATTAGCAAAATGTCCCTTTTTAGAACAAATCTGACAAGTACTATTCAAAGCTGGACATTTTATTCGCTGATGAATTACATTACTGCCACAGAAGAAACATCTTCTTTTATTTGAAGCAGCAGCTAAAGTAGACTCAACCAAATTATCTCGTACAGTAGATACATCGTTGTTGTTCAGGGAACATATTTGAGTTTTCTTTTGTGAATTAGATGAAATAACGGCATCAGCAGAATTAAGGGGCAAAGAATTACCATTGTAAGTTAGGGAATTAATTTCTGCCATCTCGAGTGAAATTGCTTGATTGAAAGCTTGATCAAGTGAGAGTTCAAAATTTTCTAATAAACGTTGGCGAATTTTTTGTGAGGAAATACCAGCAATAAATGCATCTCTAATATATTCAGATCGATATTGTTCAGCTTTAACATCTTTGAAGTAGCATTTTTGAGCAAGAAGCTTAAGTTGGCGCAAGTATTGATCTATAGATTCATCACTGCGCTGCTTTCGAGTGCCAAGGATATGACGTGCATGTATTTCATTTTTTTGTTTAATGTAAGTATTATTTAGAATTGAAATAGCTGACTCATAATCATTACATTCTTTTATTTACACATAAACGCTGGGAGATAAGTGATTAATCAAGATTTTTAATTTATGCTCCTCCGTAAACTCACCAATACTTTCTGACAAAAAATTATCGAATGTATATATCCAATGTGTCCATTCTAAATCAGCATCGGTAGAGCTTGGATCTAACTCAAATCTTTCCGGCCGTAGGTAACGCGACAAACTTGTTGAAGCCGGCCCTGGAGTTGACGATATCATTTCGGATTCAAATTTCTTGTTACAGCTTTTTCTTGACATAATTAGTTGTATTTTATTAGTTGAATTAATTGATACAAAACGATATAGACCATAGGGAAATATTGGTTTAATTCAACTAAAAATAACGATACATTGGTATTATTACAGACAATAGTAGTTAGAAAAGGAATGTCACAATCTTAAGTCAATAATAGAAAAACAAACCAGTATTTGTAAAGAGTTTCGTATACTACATTAAATGCTGTTTAAATGTTATTGTCGTTTGCTATTTTCTGGCCTCATCTGTTTTTCAACTGCGAGATTCATTAAAATATTTCTGCAAACAAGGTTTTTTTTTGATGGGTGAAAATGGTATGGCAACCCCGCCTGCGCTAACAGGATTCGCTGACGGATCACCAGTGAAGGGTGATAGATGAGAATGAAAACAGGCCAGTTAGCCTATCATGATGAGTTCATCAGGAATTAACTATGATAGTTTCCAGGGAGAACCGGGAGGAGGACCTGGTTGAGTATATTGCTAGCAATGGGATTCTCAGTCTCCATTACTAACAATCCCTTTTTCCCCTGCAATCAAGGTTAGTGACTGCAATAGATATCCTTAGTCATTACAATGATGATGATAAATACGTTATAACACAGCATGACTATAAATAGGTTAACTGCGCTTTTACAACTAGCGCCATTTGCGATCAAGTGGTAAAAATAAAACAAACCTAATATATTTACTTTCTTATACTATATGTTTCAACCATAATTTGTTTTTTGTAGTGTATGTATTTTAAATCGTATAAGTAATATATATGTATTGGGAGGAAAGGGATTGTTGGTAATAGGATCTAACTGACCTATTGCTAACAATCACCCTGTCAGTTCGACCTTCACGCAGTTCCCCCTGGAAACCATCGTGGTTAATTCTAGTAGAATTCATCACAATGGGCTAACTGACCTGCTTTCACCTTGTCACCTATCATCCCTCACTGGTGCCCCGTCAGCGTACAACGATAGCGCAGGCGGGGTTACCATTCCATTATCACCTATTAAAAATATATATATATTTGTATTTCTGAATGTATAATAAGTAGGATGTAATTGTTGTTTAAAATAAGTAAATTAATTTATAATATGTACAATATATACTTATATGGCATCAAAAAAATTTTTGAAAAAAAATTGTAATTCGAACCACTAAAGGAGTTAATAGAAACGAAGAAAGAGAATACTCGTAGAAGTACTAAGTCGGCGGAGAGAAGCACTTATGATATAAAAAGATTTAAGAATTAGGTTTATCAAAATTGCTTTTACCAGCTTAATAAAATGTTAATATAAACAAGCGACAAAATTATTTATAAGCAAAATTTTTTATGCTAGCTATTTTTTTTACATTTCAACGATCGTTACTACTTATCTACTTACGTACTTTAACTTTATAAAAGTGACAATCCCAGATAATTTTACTTATTTTAGGAATTAATATTCCTATCTCGTTTATATTCACCCCACTTTCGGAATATATACAAGTGAAAACATTTTGAAAGATTCCAAAAAAACTAAGCGATAAACCCAGAAAATATAATACTTGCACTATGCTGTCATTATATACAAAAGCAGCGTTATAAAAAAAGCACGTATTAATTATTATCGCTTCTAGTACTGACATAGAGAGCCTTTGTTTTATGATCTTCATAGATAATTAAGCAGCTTAAATTAAAAATGTATCTACTGATGTTTCTAAGACGGGAGAGCATCTTCGTATTACAAGCGATATTTGTCTACGAAATTAATAGCTCCTTATGAAAGGATCATGTACTAAGTCCATTAACTTTCTCTTCGTTGTATACTCTAAATTCCTTTGCCTTCCTTAAGAAGCAACTAAAAAAATAATAATAATGATACGAAAGTTTCTTGTTTTCATGTCAGTTTTGTGTTGTGCGTAGTTGTGATTGGTTTTCTAATGGCTTAATTAATTTTCTTATTATTTTCTTTTACAATTCCTATATATTTTGGTTCGAGCTTGACCAGATATGGCACTGCTACCTCCAGATCCAGTTTATACAATCAGAAATGTTGACAATGTTCCTGTTTATTCATTGGCATTTAGCTTTTTACCCGGCGGACTGGAGAGGTTACTAGCCGGCTCTAAGAATGGTTACGTTTATGCATACAACCTTCAGGTAAGTGATACCCGTAATTACAATAGGAGGAATATCGATTCCCGAGCGTGTGTGAACAAAATTTTTTAATGACGTGTCTATTCTAGAACTTATCTTTACGACGCAGTTTCTGATCTACCCTCGATTTGTGGCCCAACAAAATATTAGCTAGAAAATTACAATAATAGATATTGAATACATTGAAATAATATATGCCATTTAAATAAGTACATTTTGTGGCCTGAAAAATTAATAGCGACAATATTATAATCATGATTCTTGTTGAAATATGAGTACATTTGTACACTATTTAGTTATATGCACATGGCTATTACACATTATTACCTTTATATTTTTAAAATTTTTCTTTCTATTACTTCTATTACTCACTTATTTAAATATTAGAAATGTAACTAGTTTTATAAACAGACAAAATGTTTATAATAATTTATTATTTAATTTTTTCAGACTAACCGTGTACAGCAGAAAATCCAAGTTGGTCAAGCTCCCATATTGCACATTATTCACACAGACACTCACTTCATCACTCAAGAAAAGGGAGGAAACTACAAAATATTTTCTCTTACCAATAACGGCTATGAAGAAGATGCTACCATCGCCATTGACTATCCAGGTTTTTGCCGTTTTGAAGCCAACACAAAACTCAATATACTCTATGTACCTGACAGTGAATCAAAAATACATATTTATAACTTCTCTGGAGAGAAAACTGGTAGTTTGGAGCCTGACAGCGCAGCGCCAAAACTAGGAGATCCTATGTGTATGAAATTTATTGAATTTCCATGTGATAGACCGTGTCTCTTAGTAGGCTATGAAGCAGGATGGCTCCTGCTGTGGGATCTCAACACTAGTCAATGCATTGGTAAACTGCAAACTAAACAATGTCCAATGTCAGTGGAATATCACCTTGATCAACAGAGAGGTATAATTGGCACTGCGTCTAATGTGATACAAATATTTAGCATAAGTAGAAAAGACTTAACTTTGGCTCATAAGGCAGATATTACAATCAAGAACCCAGGCGTAAACAAGGTCCTGTCCCGATCAGACGGCAAGGTCTTCACATCTGGTGGCTGGGATGGACACATCCGTATATTTTCATGGTTCTCATTACGTCCATTAGTTGTTCTGACTGAACACAAACAAGCTGTGCAAGATATTGCCTACTCATCGGAAAAAGTTTCTCAATGGAATGCCAATATCATGGCGGCAGGGGGACTTGATGGTGCTATAACTCTTTGGAACTTATATAACAATAAGAATTGATCCTGTAATGCGTATACAATATATAATGTATAGAGCTTTGACTATCAACTACTTGTTTTAAGTAGAAAAGAATTATTACTTTGCAACTATGTTTCTCAGTTGTACAAATCACGCCAGTATTGCCTTTACTTAAAATGTTAGATACTATTGATCATCCAGTAATGCTTTAATTATTTTGAAGATGTTAATATTATAGATTGCAATATTATGCCATTATTAATTAGTAGTACCTCTGATTGGATCTCAACAAATGTACAATATATTAACTAGAGGCATACTATTTTCAGCTTGTGCGGCCAAGCTGTTAGAATGTAAGAACAATGTTAAATATAGCAATGAATATTTTCCGTGAATGATTTTAGCGATGTTTTTTCAATGAGACAAGACATTAAAATTATGAATTTTATATCGGTATTTGTTTTACTGTTGACATACTTGAAATTTTAAGTGACTCACAGAGTGGAGTTGGTACACTTGTGTAAATATTAATAGTATTGACCAGAAATAATTACTTTTCTATCTGGTTGTTTCTGCTCCACTTCTCACTTGCTATTATTCCACAGTTTGTTGCGTACCATTTATTTAAATATTTGCTATAAAACTAAGTTATGACTAAAAAGAATTATTTCTATCAGAGAAAGATGCGCCTGGCATAAAATATCTAAACAAATCAATCGGTCTTCTCATTGCCCGACAGATGGTATGGGCGGGCGAGGTAGAGACTTGGGGTGTACCCCTTTATCCAGGCTTCAGCTCCGGAGGCTACCACCTCCGGCACACGAGGTTTTAAGCCGACATATACTAGATGTTATTGTGTATGTCGGCATGGAGTTTTCTTACTTCTTTCTTGTTACAGTGAAGAAAGTAAATAAGGGCTTGCCCTTTTCCCTTGAATGTCTCTTTAATAACTATTTATATAACATTTCTCCCCTCTCCCCCAATCCCAATAGACATAATAGGTTTTAGTAAATATATAAGATTAAGGACCAACACGAAGTGTGTCGGCCCTCCCGCCGCTATTGCGGGGGGCATAAATATATACTAGGCTAGACAAAAGGGAACAGCATTATAAAACTGAAAGGAATGTGTTACGTTCAACGTGGACGTAATATGCAAAAACTAAGATATTTGATGGTGATCAAAAATTATCTACTAGGTACTTGGTAAGTACTATTATATTAGCAGCCCAACCTGCCACGAATGCAGGCACCTACCCTATGGTAGGCTCCTGTATTCGAGCGTAATTCAATACTTAGGATAACGTACTAAGCACAATTTAACGTTCGATATTTAAACATTTTCAACACCTGCAAATGTGCTAACTGTGGTGTAGATTCTCTGAAGCCATTTCTCTAAACTTCTCTAAACAATCATAGTGATATTTGAAATGTAAGGACCAATATGAACTAAATCTCCAATAGATTTAAATAAAAATTATCATATAAATTTAGCCATGTTTATAATAATAGATTTGTAGGTCCCGGCATAGAATAGGCCCGTTTCTTTCTCATGGGTGTTGTAAGAGGAGACTAAGGCAGTAGCGCCCCACTTAAAACATGCCACCATCACCAATATTAAAAGCCAAACTGCGTTTCCCACCCCCGCTTACCAAGCGATACAACTACTAGCAATGGTGTTAGCAGTGGACAATTAACGGCAGATATAATATAGATACATTTAGTTTATGATGGTCCATAAAACAGTAATTTCGCGTAACATTTTAAAATATTAGGTTAATCGATAAGTTTAGAAAAATAATGTCTCAGATTCGATTCCGGTGCTTTATAAATCCACAATGAACACGGCAATGACAATTAACGAGCGACCGATGGTGCTGCCTCTACAGAGCGATCTTTGAACTAAATTGCTATTGTAAATTAATAAAATATATTTAAGAAGTGCATTTAAGTCATCTAGCAATTAAAAAGCAATCATACTACATAATACCATTTTTCTAATGTTTGATTATTATAATCTTAATATTTTTGCTGTTTCAAAAACTGTAGTCGTCTCTCGTGTAATTGGCGTGCCTAATAGTTATATATTTATAATCCCTTGACATTCGACGAATAAAATAATACACTGAGTCAAATTGGTCCAACTAACCTGATTTTATCTCCACTATTCCTTGTCATGGCGAGTGCACAATTGCATTTTTATCCGTTGAATAAATTATTTAATATTGTTTTCTACAAAAACAATATTAAATAATAATAAAAATTCAATTCTGATAAAACCAGTTATTTTGACTTAAAAGCTAAATGACTAATAAATTTAATTTAAAATTGTAGAAAGAAAAAAATGTCTGCCAAGCCGTAGCCGAAGCCGATCTCCAAATATATTTGGCGATAGTGAGACCCAGTGTCCAGATGATTTACCCAGCGTCGTCGCAACAAAGAAAAAAAAATAAAGAGGATGAAAGAAGAAACAAACTGTATAAAATTTAAATATATACGGCCATGAAATGAAGAAACTATCTACGGGAAGCAAAAGGCCAACATGTTGATCAACTGCAACATGAAAACACTGAAAATTAATTACTTTCATTTTATTATATATAGATTTTTAAAATTTCCTGAAATATTATTAGTTAACGTTTTATTTAATATTGTAGAATTGATCAATACAATTTATAAAAATAATTTATTGGTATTACTTACATATTTTCAAAAAAATACGTAAAAACCTATTTTTTTGGGTGATTATGGGAGTTTATGGGTGTTTATTGGGTTTTTACCAAAGCACCGGGTTTAAACCCGGTGCTTTGCCCATCTGTAGATTTAAATAAAAATTATCATATAAATTTAGCCATGTTTATAATAATAGATTTGTAGGTCCCGGCATAGAATGTTTCTTTCTCTAAAACATGCCACCATCACCAATATTAAAAGCCAAACTGCTAAATGACCTAATATAGATACATTTAGTTTATGATGGTCCATAAAACAAGCTAAAAAAAATTATGAAGTAACAAATATAAAAAAATACAGACAGTTTGAACACCTCTTCCTATTTTGGAGACGGTTTTTTGTTTACTACCTTTTAATTGGTTGAATAGAAATCATGGGTAAAAAAAAAATTAAATAATATTGCGATGATAATCGTGGTATGATTCCAGCTTAAAACGGGGCCCTTCCTTTCCCATGGGCGTCGTAAGAAGCGACCAAGGCAAATTAATGGTTGAGGGATGAGCAGCAGCGTCCCTCTTAAAACATCACCAAAGCCTAACTGCGGTTGCCAACCCGCCTGCTAAGCGTGGCAAACCTCCTTATATGGGAGGCGTTGTTGAGCAGTGGACTTAATTAATGGCTGATATGACGATAATGTTATTGTGATGCCCTTTATCGTAAGGTGAAACATATAAAAATAAACATATAAACTTAGTTATTATTTTTATTATAAGACATACAGTGAAATTTAATAAGTTACTAATATCACATTTACAGTGCTTCCTAATTTTTATACATATTCAGACATAATGGATATACCAAGAAACCCAATAATAGTATCCACAAAACAGAATACAATCCTAAAACATAATGAACAAATTTTGACCCTTTCATAACAAATCGATAACATGACTCCTGATTTTTTAGGAAAAGCTCAAAAATTACTTTGAGACTTTGTTCGATTATGCTCCTTACTAAAAATTGTTCATTATTATGAATTTTATTACCATCTTGGTATTATTTATCCATTAAGATATACAGTAACAAATCACTAACTTTCCAAGCATTTTCGAAAAAAAAAAAATTTAATTCTAATATTTAACATGAATCTTAGACAAATTTTGTTTTACATAAGAATATTTGTTATGGTTTTAAAAAAAAACCTGATTTCGCAAAGCGACTGATTTGCTACCGAATTGAACTGGTGTAACTCATCCACTGTAAATACATTATGCAGTATTACTTAGAGTGTGCATCTTCTATTACCTTCCGCCCTAGAAACCCTTTATCTAAACAAGAGACCCTGGCAAGAAGCAATTCAACAGAAGCAGCATGTTTTAAACATTTAATTTCGTCTTCAAAAGTTAGTATATTTGTATATGTACAATATACAATTTCAATATTAACTTAAATCTAGGACTAGCAATTTCATTGAATATTGAACTCGGTTCGGGTTACCATGCTTTGTGATATGTATACTGAGTATATTATCAGATATAAATGACTAAACTATTATTTCTATATCATATTCAAACTTGAACAATTTTTCGCGTTTTCGGAATAAGAACATCGTCCTCGGTAGACACTTCTACCAATCTCCGCCTTTTCCTCAAAGGTCTATTAGATTCAGACGGTTCCCTAGGTTTAGCAACAATTTTCGCCATTTTATTACCTAATCTTGTTATTTTGAATTTTGGTAATGTTTGTTCAGGATTCCTCGTATCTGAAGTTTCAGTCTCCGTTCTATCCTCGTCTTCTATTCGCTCGTTTTCATTATTTGTTTCAGAATATACAATTTTATCATCTAATATCCCTGGATTATTTTCACTACTATTTACATTGTCTTCATCCTTTCTTTTATCACTGTTCATTGTAAAATCTAAAGGTCCTTCGGTATCGTCACTTTTTACTTCTGTTTTAATTTTATTAGCACAATGTGCTTGTATAAATGAAGTTATTGGTATCGGAATAGGTATAGGAAGTGGTATTGGCAATACAACTGGATAAGGTACTAATACAGTCACAGGTGGAACTTGCCCCAAAGGTGGTGGAAAATTTAATGGCGGAGGGATTCTAGGTCTTTCATGCATTGGTATACCTGGTCGAGGCAAAAAATTTAATCTTGGTGGGAACATGCTAGGATGTCTATGTTCATTTGGCAATGAATCCATGAAAACAGGTGGTGGCATTCCGAATATTGGATTTTGGAAATGTGGTGGTGGTACAGGGTGCGAGTTAACGGGATGAGTGGGTGAATGTATAGCACTGTTCCCTGTAGTCGAGGCAGGGGAAGATCCCTCTATAGAAGGACTGCATATGCGGAGATCTTGTGCTTTCGGCGTCGATGTGCGCTTAACTGTTTGTGACGTAACTGTTGCAGAACACTTTGATGTTCTCCGTTTTCGCAGATTCATTTTGTTGCTCCTTGTTTCTTTTTTAGATTCGGGCGACTTCTGAATTAGTGTTCGTTCTTCAGACGGTAGCTTCGGTTTCATCAGTTTCGCTGTTGGAGCTACTGTAATTAGCGGTAGGGGCGATTTTCTATTCTGTACCTTTTGTGTTTCTGCCTTTTCTGAATTAGTCTGTTTAATCGATGAATTATCAGGGACCGGCGAAGTGGACTTTTCGGATATGGGTGAAGCTGAGCGACTTCGACAGTTTTTCAACCAAAGTTCAGGTGTGATTAGGTTTGATGAAGACGAGGCGTTCACCAAATGAGGATTGAGCTCAAGATGCGCCTGGGTTTCTCGGCAGAATATATGCATCTTGTACTGATTGAGGCATTTGTCTGAACAAAACTGAAGTTGTGTTGCGCCATCCTGGAAAATATATTAAATACATATATCATTTTTGATGATGTGATGGAAATACGTATGAAAATTCCTATTATACCATCCGATTACACAATTTGGATCAGAATAATACAAATTGATTCCATATAAATATAAAAAATAAATGCAAATATGGCCTCTTGTTATGGAAGGACGAGATTTGGTACTTGAGGAAATCATGTTTGCATTTCAACACTATGGTGAAAGGTAAAAAAGACATTGGTAGTTTTCCATGATGAATTTCTTGGTGTATGAAAGAGGTATCTGAATAATATATTAATAAAACTCTATTTTCTTTGAAATATTAAATTAATGTCATCCTCATAAGAAGAGACCCGAGTTCAGCAGTAGGATAATGGATTGTTAACGTGACAATTTCATATTTTACCTGAAAATCAACATAAGCGACGGTATGCCGCACGTGTCTACACCAGTCACACGTCTTCGCCCTCTTGAAGTTGGCACGCCGCGACTGACTGAAGCACAACTCGGAGCAAAACGTCGCGCCCGCCTGCTGGAGGGCGCCACTTTCGCTTGTTATGTTCTTATTACACCACGAACATTCATCTGTAATTAAACATTTTTTATTTATGATTAGTTACTTGACAATTTACTATTTATGAATTGATATAGAAGAAAAAAAGACATGGGCGGACTGTGTGAAAGATGATATTTAAACAGTCCGCCGCAGTGCGAGAGGAGATGCTGTGACACAAAGGGTCGATCTCCTAGGAAAGAAGACTTTCTGATGAAGTCGAAACAATTGTGGAAAACTACAAACATAGTAAGTTCATAAAATTCCCTTTCTATATTTAAAATATAGACATGTAACGTGGGTATACCGATATCCTAAAAATACAAAACTCTTAGTTTATAGAATAGAGATGCCAATTAAATTATTTATGATCGCGAGTTTTTTTTTTTCTCTTAAAAAATGAACGTCTCAAGTAACCGTCTCCAATTAATTTGCGAATGATACTTATTGAATGAAAAAAAATACGTTCGGAAACTGAATAGGCTCTCATTATACCGGGCGCGGTCCGTTTACGGTCCAAGTGATAGCTCGTTACAATGCTTATTAATTTTCCTTGTTCAACGATAGAATATCACGAGGCAACTCGCAATAATTCGAGTTATCCGAGCTTTTAATCGATTAGACGATCTATTTCATTCGTTCATCATTAAATGAATGATAATGACTTGGGTTTTATATTTAGTATCAACATTTAGTATGAATGGGATGCATTATCGTGCATATCTCACATGTAATAATCCCTTAGTCCACTGTGATAGCTATCATCATCATATCAGCCCTTAACCTTCCACTGCTGATAAGCCTCCCTCTTGGGGGGTTTTGCCAGTAGATGCCACGCTTGGCAGGCGGATTGTCAACCAGAGTCGGGCTTTAGAGATATTTTAAGAAGGACGCTGCTGCCCATCTCTCGCCGTCCCTTAGTCGTTTTTTACGTTTTTTATGACATCCACGGGAATGGAAAAGGTCGTCTATTCTATGCCAGGACCACACAGCCACACGGATACCTATAGGTGAGAGATTTTTAAATAGACAATAATGGAATGGTAACCTCACCTACGCAATCGGTATACACTAGCAAAGATATACCAGTAAGGGATGATAGGTGAGAATAAAAAGGCAGGTCAGTTAGCCCATCGTGATGGACAGTTGGAATAAAACACGATGGTTTCTAGGGGGAAACGCGAGGAGTTCCACCTGACAGGGTGTATTGCTAATAAAATGGGAAAAGGGATTGTTAGTAATAGAGACTGAGAATCCCATTGCTAGCAATATTGGGTATATACCAGATCGACCTCCTCGCAGTTCTCCCTGGAAACTATCATGATTAATTCCTGATGAATTCATCATGATGGGCTAACTGGCCTGTTTTCATTCTCATCTATCACCCTTCACTGGTGCTCCGCCAGCGTATCCCGTTAGCGCAGGCGGGGTTACTGTACCATTTTCATCCATCAAAAATTGCTAATATAATAGAACTACTAATTCCCATTATTAACAATCCCTTCTCCCTCTAAATATGAGGGCACAGGTGTCATAGTATATTCAGTGATGTCCTAAGTATTCTCATGGTCATATAGTGGCGTTCATGTATATAAGTGATGATTCCATTCACAAATGAGCGGTCTATTTGCCATTCCTTTTACAAATTTCATTTATTTACTACCAGCCTTTACCCGTGTTTCCATACGCGTGGATTTTGGAAGTTAGGTAACCACTTTTAGACAGCGTATTAAGATAAGACATTCACCAGATTTTTTTTTTTAAGATAGATCTTTAGGAACATATATGTTAAAACCGCATTCAATTTAGAGTAGTTGTTTTGACGTGGTTCCGGAACATAGAGACAGACCGACAAAAATTCTAAAAATTATAGTTTCAGATTCTATTGCTTTTAAGACCACTTATGTAATGTCTCCTATTAATTCGTCACGATTGACTGTCCTGCTTTCATCCTCATCTATCAACCCTCATTGCCGAAGGGGAAAGGGATTGTTAGTAATAGGGAGGTTAGACCGTATTGCTATCAATATATCCTATCGGGTCGAGCTCCCCGCGGTTCCCCCTGGAAACTATCGTGACTAATTTGTCGTTGAATTAGTCATGATGGGCTAACTGACCTACCTTTACATCCTCACCAACCATCCCTCACTGGTGCCCCGCCAGTGTATACCGATGGCGCGGGCGGGGTTACTATTTCATTATCATCCATTAAAAAAAAACTCTCACTGCCGATGCCGATGCCTCAACCCGATAGCGCCGACGTAGTTACCATTCCATATTAATTTTTTTTAAATACATATATAGAAAAGTGCGGCACGAATAATAAAGCCCCTTAGCTATGTGTCTGTCATTTTTCTATGAAACATGCTTAGCGATATACAAATATTAATGAATATGTATTCCAAGAATAACATTCAAGTATACGCAAGTCATGAAATAACTTGATATTAATCTGTGGCGCCCTATGGAGGTAATTTGGCGCCAAAATACACGAGGGTAACCTGTGGTTTCAACGGAACGTCCAAATTCAGGGAACCGCAGCTGCATTGATAGGGGGCTTAACTTTCTTCGAACTTTTTATTAATTTTATTTATATTCAAATAAATTGATGACATTATAAGATTGTAATCTTTCATCCCCTGTATTTTTTTCAATTTTTTAAAGAAAATTGATGTGTAGTAAAAAAAAAGGATATTTTTTATAGCTGTTAGACCACTACTCTACTAGTAGAAGTATATGTATATATTTTAACAAGATATATATTCGTATATATTTTAATAATATAATCATTATATTTAAAAAAAAAATAAACAAAAAAATTTATAATATCATCATTTATAATTAATTATAAATAGTCTCTCAACGCACCACATCGAGGCATCCTACCTAAGATACTGACAACATTGCCTCTTTGGATTGTTAAACTTATCTTTTGCGCAAAGTAGCTACCAGCTTTTGGGTGAGCTGTAACCTCGATGAGGCGCGCTGTGATTCGTATATATTAGTTCTTCCGTTTAAATACAAGTCTCGAACACAAGAACCGACGTACATAAATCCGTAAGATGTAAATAAATCTTGATTTTATTTTTACAAATAAATAAATAACTATCTAATTTACCAGAGGGAGACTTTGTACAAAAGTCGATTGCTTGGGTGCCTCTGTCCCATTCGTGTTTCAACCGTGAAGCAGTTGTTTGCATGGCTGTGTTTCGGTTTGAAGGGTGGGATATGGCGTGAATTTACTGGGTACAGAGGAATAACATCTGAGTCCTTAGGAATGGCAACGCATGGGGGGTATCATGGGCGAAACAGTATATTCTGTTATGTCTATGGTACTGCTCGTGTCTATAGGCGACGGTTACCACTTTCCATCAGGTGGGCCGTCAGCTTGTTTGCCATTCTAAGCTGTATAAAAAAAATCATTAAATTGATAATTCACCTTTATTTTTCTGATCACTGGCCTGCTCAGGACTGGCCGCGTCCCGAGCCCTAGAAGCTGCCCACCTTCGAAGCTCCAGTCTCTCGTATCCATACCAGCCCAGCAACTCATTCATGGCGGTCTCCGCAAACTCCTGTAAATCACCAGAATTTGATATTTTAAATATTTTTTAATGGGGCAATAATAGAATAGTAATTTCGCCTGCTCTTTTGAAATACGCTGGCGGTGATTTTAAATACATATCATCACCTCTATGGCAAATTTACGAACCTGCAGTTTTTTCAAATTTGACATTTCTTAAAAAATCTACATTTTGCGTCATACTACTTATTGTGGCTTATTTTCAAATTTCTATTTCTAACGGTTAAAGAAATCGAGTAGCTCGAATCTCCATATTTTTGTGATATACCCAAAGTAAACTTACTTAGCATATTTTTATAGAATTTTCTATAATAAACACTTTAATTTGAAAATTTCAACAATTATTTTATCAATTTTTCATTCCTAATTTAGTTATTTTACATGAATGATTGCTATACCGTTTTTATTTAAACTGAAGTTTTCTCCAAAACACGTGATTTATACCTTAGTATATTTACGAAAGTGGCACTTTCGTTAGTTTGCCAGATATTAAAATAAATTATTTTCTTTGGCAACTTACGAAACTGCCATTTTCGTAGATTTGCTGTTGTATAACTCAATACCTAGGAACTCTCATGTATGAAGGTGCAAAGTAATGAATATGCATTTACTTCTGATACTTGTAATATAATAATAATTAATTAAGCGCATTCAATAAAAAACAGGATTTTAAAACTAAAATTTTAGCATGATCTTTTACAGTAGTCTTCTATCAAAAGTTATTTGCATTCTAATGTTTCAAAACGTTCCGCTGTAAAATGTATCTTTTTCAGTTTCGTAAGTTTACCATAAAGGTGACGATATGTTACAATAAAGTTTGTTAAGCAAAACAATTATGCATGTATCCGGGTAATAAACTGGTTAATTGGTTTTGAACATTAACGTGAACTAATAGCGTTTTCGGAATTTTCATAAGCTTCGATTGGTGTGTGGTTCCGGCATAGAACAGGCTACCACTTCATTTCCCGTGTCGTAAGAAGAGACTAAGGCAACTTAATGGTCGAGAGATGGAACGCAACGTTTTTCTTAAAACATCACTAAATATCCAACTGCAGTTGCTGGGAGGGAAAGGGATTGTTAGCAATGGAGTTTGACAGCCCCATTGCTAGCAATATGCCTTATTAAGTCGACCTCCACGTGGTTCCCTCTGGAAACCATCGTGAACAATTCTTGTTGAATTCGTCACGATGGGCTAACTGACCTGCTTCATCCTCATCTATCATCCTTCACTGGTGCCCCGCCGGTGTATACCGATAGCGCGGGTGGGGTTACTATTTCATTATCACCCATAAAAAAAACTGCAGTTGCTAACCTGACTGCCAAGTGTAACAATTACTGGCAAATCTCCCCTTATTGAGAAGACTTATGTTTGGCAGTGGACAGTTGGCGGCTGTTATGAAGTTTAAACTATATATATAGTTTATTATATATATCTATAATTGTAACAAAAATGCACTTTAAAAACGGGTCGAATTTATTTTATTTGTATCAAGTTAATTTATTTAATGTATTTTGTAATGGAAGGGATTGTTAGTAATGCGGATTACCAGTCGCACTGCTAGTAATATACCCTATCAGGTCGACCTCCACGTGGTCCCCCCTGGAAAACATCGAGCTGAATTCCAGGTATATTCATCACGATGGGCTAACTGACCTGCCTTTTTATCCTTACCTATCATCCTTCACCGGTGCCCCACCCGCGTATACCGTTAGCGCAGGCGGAGTTACCATTCCATTATAATCCATTAAAAAAAATATATTGTAAATGCTATTTAGAGAAAGTATATGCATTATTTTTTTTAAACTGTAACATGACTACAAATGTTTACATCACGACACAAAATACGACCGTTATTTTTAAAAGTGCACCTTAAATAAAAATAAAACGCGATTTATTCAAAATAAATGGTTCTTGAATGACCTCCTTACAGCGAGTTTTATTGCCAGCGATTACGGTAATCAATTCCTACGTTTTAAAAAAAAATGTCGCGATTCAACGACGCAACATGTGAAATATTTGTGTCGTTTAAAAAGATATCGGTTATTAAAACGGCTTTGTGGTGAAATATTGTTGCATTAATACTGTTTCTTTGTACTGAGCACACAAAATAAAAAAAAAGAACTTTATTAAAAATAAAATTAGACATTAGACTAAGCTGTATGGTATTCGTTTCCTTTGTTTATTAAAGGAAAATAAAAATTATAAATCATAGATTAAGGATGGCCAAGATCTACGGTATAATTAATAAACAAGAAAGAAAAAAAATCTATAAATTTAATATTTTATTTCATAACAAAATTATTTTTAATCGTGACAAATTTTACATCTAGTAAACTATATCAATTAGAAGAGTTTTCAAATTTAGTTAAGAATTAATACAGATTATGTAAAATGGTAAATAAAAAAAAATGTGCGAATTAAAAACTTCCTGACAATTATTGTAATGACCAAAATTTGTATGAAAGCTTCCCCCTTGGGAAGTAGCCAGTAGTTGCTACGCTTGGCAGACGGGTTGAGTCGATACTGCCCATCCCACGACCATTAATTCCCCTTGGTCACTTAATAGGGACAGATGGAAAAAAACTCCACTCTTACCCCCCTGTGTAAGAGTGGAATTTTCACCTATATGAATAAAATTATCGGGATCAACAAATATTTGAATGACAAAGACTTTTTATGTGTGGGAAGCACATATGTCACGCTAGCCCCTTAATCTAGGTTGAAATAACAATCGCTACATTGTAAGTGTAATTTGTATGAAAAATACAATTTGATGATTTCTTCCAAGATAATTGGCACAAGCTAATACAATTTTAAATCAAAGCTTAACATCACCTCAGTTGTACAGAGAACATTCGTTTATGATTAAGAGATGCTCAGTCTAATGAAGAGATTTGTTAATTTTAGAAGATTTTTATTTTAGAATTATTAATATCTCGACTATTCATTGTCACCCACGTATAACACACTTATTTTTTTTTTTAAAAAACGTTACTTATAATTCTGGGAGTAGTATTTAATTTCGTTCCACCTACTTACGAAAGGAAGTACTCTAAGAAACAAGAATATTAGTTTATAGTGAAGTTTTTTTATAAATAAATGAACCATATTTCATTTCATCATTTCCTCCACTGCTGAACAAAAATCTTCATAAGGGGAGTTTTGCCAGTAGTTACCGCGCTTGGCAGGTGATTTGGCAATTGCAGTTAGGTTTTTAAAAAAGTTTTAAAAGGGACGCTGCTGCCTAACTTTCTACCATCAACCAGAAGGAGGCTGTACAAAAGTCGATTGCTTGGATACCTCTGTCCCATTCGTGGTTCTACCGTGAAGCAGTTGTGTTTGCATGGCTGTGTTTCGGTTTGATGGGTGGGATATGGCGTTAATTTACAGGGTAAAGAGGAATAACAAGTGAGTCCTCAGGAATGGCAACGCATGGGCGAAACAGTATACTCTGTTATGTCCATGGTACTGCTCATGTCTATAGTCGACGGTTACCACTTTCCATCAGGTGGGTCGTCAGCTTGTTTGCCATTCTAAGTTGTAAAAAATAAAGCAACCCGTGCAAACAGGTTATAAAATAATAATATGATAAAAATTAATCCTTAAAATCGACACTTACAATCGAAGATATCGCATAACATACTTATAATACATACAAATAATTACAATCGAGTTAGAAATCTCCTTTTCGAAACCATAAAAAAAAAACACGAACTTCTTTGTCAAATATAAAATTAAATCCACGTTTTATTAGACAAAGAGTAACATGTAATAAGTATCATATTCACATAGTATCTGTGAAGACGCCTTCATTATAGCGGCAACCGTATATCTTTGACACACGAGTATCTAAATCACCAGATTTAATTAATCTGTACTTGCACAAGGATCTACTGTGACAGTCCTGCGAACAGGTGATATTTCAGGGCAAGATGTCCACTAAGCGGAGATAATTGGGCTCCGGTTACAGTTGTCCTTTGAAGGAGCCATGGACACGATTTGAAACCTTAAAATTTATATGGCAATAATGATAATGTACACAAATGTATTATTCGATTCTCTGCCTAGCCCGTAAAGGATGTGACGTGAAGGTAGATTTAGGAAGAAAAAAAATATATAAATTAGGTACATTTATAATGTCATATTTTTTATTTATTTTATTTATTCGGCGCACATAACAGAAGTTTACAAATACAAACTTAAACTATAACATGCAAGTACAATGTATTGATCAGGTATTTGTTTTTTTATACAACTTAGAATGGTTATCAAGCTGACGGCCCACCTGATGGAAAGTCATAACCGTCGCCTATAGACATGAGTAGTACCATGGACATAACAGAGTATACTGTTTCGCCCATGATACCCCATGATGCCCATGATGCGTTGCCATTCCTAAGGACTCAGATGTTATTCCTCTGTACCCTGTAAATTCACACCATATCCCACCCTTCAAACCGAAACACAGCCATGCAAACACAACTGCTTCACGGTTGAAACACGAATAGGACAGAGGTACCCAAGCAATCGACTTTTATACAAAGTCTCGCTCTGGTAAAAAGGTATATATACATATTTAAAATTACACAGAACAAAAGGTCGTTGGTTTAATTTTTACGGTGAGAATACGTGAATTAACAAGTTCATACCTGAGTTGCAATTTGATTATGGAATCACCTTTTTAATAATTAGTTAATACGTATTATCACATCTGTTGTATGGTACTCATATTACAAATTCTGTAACGTATGTAATTAATGCCTGTATGCGATTACGTGTTATTAGCAAAATATTTGTTTTTGACAATAAGATGTTATTTTTTTGTAATGGATGATAATGGAATGGTAACCCCACTTGCGCTATCGGTATACGCTGGTGGGGCACCAGTGAGTGATGATAGATGAGGATGAAAGCAGGTCAGTTAGTCCATCGTGACGAATTCCACTAGAATTAACCACGATGGTTTCCAGGGGGAACCGCGTGGAGGTCGA